ACACAATTTGATTACAAATCATCAGAGTCCCCTGGCAGACAGCCTTTGCTGGAGGATTGCAGCCTGCTGTGTAGCCACTTTAGCATGATTTCTGCCCTCTGGCAGAGTTTGGTGGAGGTTGCTGAAGTCCCTCACCAGAGGAGGGGTCCAGGTAGCCTGTGTATTAATGTTTACAGTGGAAACCACCTTCCTTCCCCTTGAGACTGAGGGGTATTCTTTGTAGGTTCCTGGACACAGTGTGCCAGAAGTGCCTGCCATGCTCACCCCAACATTTTGATCCCACATGTAAGATTTATTTTTTGTTGCAACTGGCAATAGGTATCATCGTGGCCAAAGTCTGTGGAGCTGGGGTCATTCTGTCAGTTGAAGGTCAAATGTAAGAGCCAGGGAGCTTAATCGCAAGAACATCTGTGTTTATCCAGACAACTGAGCACTGAGCACAGTGACTGTGTAAGGTGACTCAGGGGTGTGAGCCCTCCTCCTGAATCTTTTTCAGGCAGAAGGGCAAAACTGGGCCACAGTCCTTAATGCAGCTGTTTAATAAATGTGGTGAGACTGGTCACATCCCATCTGGGTAATGTACTTACTGGACATCCTTTGGAATCTTTTAATCTTGCCATGTATACCAAACTTCTGTAATTTGTTTTTATAACTGCCATAGACTCTAGACAGGTGAGAACTAAGGACCCCAGCTCTGGTTTCTCCTGCCAGCTTCTCAGATCCTGTACTTAGCTCTAGTCTTGATTATTCACTCACCCTGTAGATCCCCACCCCGACTAGAAGTCAATCGTTGCAGGACATCATATTGGAAGTGACAGATTTCTTCACACCAAGCTCTCAGAGTCCCACTGATGGATTCATGACCTCAGTGGTGGCTGATATCAGCTTCCTACTCCTGAGTGAGTTGCTCTGAACCTAGATACCTTAATGAGGAAATGGGGTTCACATGGAGAGCCTAGTGATCCATGGATGGGAAGTCACTGAGAAAGGGCTAGGAATTTGCTAAGGGCAGGCAGGTATGGAGGAGAGTGAGGCTGGGACTTAGCACGGGCATGATCTTTACCAGTTGCTGGTCTTGCAGGAAGTGATGTGGCCTCTCTGGGCCCCAGTTTCTCTAACTGTAATGGGGCTTGATAATATTGTGTTAAGGATGAAAGACAGGTAGGATAAGCAGTGCGCAGCATTGGAATTCCAGCCTGTGTTTGGGATCGGGCCATGCCCTGGTCCATGCCCCACAGACAGTGTACCTGCTGTCGTCTGGCTGCAAAACTTTAGGTGTTCAGTTGCATAAACAAAGCCCAGAAGAGGTGGGAGGCAATTACTTGAAAACAGCATCAAAACCAAGCTCTGTTGTCTGGCCTCGATGCTGTGATTTTCACCAGGGCTTCGCAACTCCAAGAATCTCTCTGCCCTCCTCTGTTTCCCTACTCCACCTGTCCACCCTGGCCTGTCAGCTTGGGGAAGTCACATAGGGATTTCCTACTTCTCAGGGTTGGATGTCAGCCCTGGCCTGGTAGGCAGAGATCCTGAGCATCGGCAGCAGTGGCACCACACCCAGCTACCACCCTTTCCTCGGGCACTTCACACTGGACATTTAGAGATGCTGAGCTTGTAGGGAGGAGAAGGGAAGAGATACCTGGGTAGAGGTGTCTCTGTTGTGGGGAAGGTCATTTCCAGAGAAGGTCAAGACTTGAATTTGATTCTGCTGAGGGCCGGGGATAATTAACTTCGCTACTTGGGCCTCAGTTTCCCCACTTGAAAAATTAAGATGTCGGAGTAAGTAAACCACCAAGTCTACTTTAGGCTCTAAAAAAAGAGCTCCTCAGCTTCTAGCTGGGGACAAGCAGGTCCTAGGTGCTCTAGAATGTACTCTACTCGAGTAAGCCTTCAAAGCAGTACTTGAGGACGGCATTATTAGTCTCATTTTATAGAAAGGGCCACCAAAATTCAGAGAAGTTAACATATTTGCTTAGTGTGAAATTCAGAGGCCAAAGCCAGGTGCTTCTAACTCCAGAGCCCAATTTTTTTCTAGTGTTGGAGATTGAACAAGCACCTTGTATCTGCTAAGCATGTGCTGTACCGCAGGCTGAGCTACACCTCCATCCTGGGGGCATTTTTCTAACTGCAGAGATGTATCTATTCCACCCCCTCAAATCAAGATGTGATGCTAGTGTTACTCTCGGGAAACCTAGGAAGAATGTTGAAGTTTCCTCCTGCCTCTGTTTGCACAGCGTGTTTCGTGTCACAGAGAACTTTTCTTTCAAAAAATTTCCAGAGGACAAGTGATGCATTGTGTCTTCCATTTTTGGCAACTTCGCACAATAACCTTAACAGCCTCTTTGCTCCCATGGTCCAAGGATGGCATTTCAAATCTGTGTGGTCACGGAGAGAGCTCATGGTTTAAAATTTTAATGGAGGACCCTTACCCCCATCTGTCCTTATCAGCTTTTGCCTTGTCCCTGGCTTCCTCGAGGTTGGTCACCAAGCTGTGAAGCTCCCACCCCAGTGTCCGCCTGCAGCTGAGAGGGGCTGCCCCTCCTCCCCAGCTGCAAGCCCAGATTCTATTAGCACAGCCAACAGGCTCCATTGGGGCTTTCGAGCGCTCTGGCAATTTGGATGTCAGTAGCTGAGAAAATCAAGCTTAATATTTGATGACATTACAAAGTCAACCTGTTCTCTTTTCAGCACAGATAGAATTAAAAAGTAGACTTCTCACCAGGAGAGTCCCCCAAGGAAGTGGGAGGCAGTTGGCCTGGGAGCCACAGCGGGTTGGACAGGAGCACTGGGCAGGGAGTCAGCCAGGACGGACTCGAATTCTGGCTGGGCAGCCAACTAGCTGTTGACCTTGGGTGAGTCTCACCCTCCTCTCAGAGTTTTAACTTCCTCCTACACAAATAACGGATCCTCTGCGTGTACTCTGATTTAGGAACTGGGCTATGTTCAACACAAAACTGACTTGTGGCACTGTTTCTAAACCCTGTGAAAACTTCAAGAGTGGCCAGGGTTTTCTGAGAGGTGGAAGCCAGAGAAGCAAGGGAGGGACCTGGCAGCTGAGCCAAGAAAACTGGAAAAGAGACCAGATCTGTTTGCAGGACCTGTGACCGGCTTATGATGCCCAGTCACTACCACATTTGGGTCCAAAATGGGGTTCAGAGACCTTAGGGACGTGAGAGGGGAAACAAGTGCCCGTGATATGATCAGAGCCAGGCGTCAGTTCCTATGAGTCAGGTTGGGTGCTCCAGGGAGGCTCTGAGTTCAGTTGCCACCACCAGATATATACTTGTCCTGTCTCCTCTGAGTCCGAGGAGGTACATGTGTCCCCTTCCAGTTGTATGCAAAGAGGCAGGCAAGAGTGGTCCTATGGGAGGGACAGTGTCAGCATGGAGGGGATTAGTTAGACCAGGTTTGGTGGGCACAGGACAGTGGGGTTCCTAGGAACTGACAGGAGTGCATCCAAGCACCCTTAAGAGGAAGCGCCCTGAGTTCCCACGAGTCTTCCTGATACTCTTGGTATTGATTCAGAGTCTCATTTATTTTTATGCAATTATCGTCAAAGTTGTCTTGGAGACCCCAACTGATGTAGAAGCTGCTGGTTTGATAGAACAGAGATCCCCCGGTCTTACAAAGATGGGCAGATGGCTCATAAATAAAGGTCACCACAATGAGCAGAGGAATCTCATTACCTAAAGTTGGGATTTGGGATTATGGTATTGTGAGAAAGAGTTCCTTTGGTAGGAAACTCCATGGTGTAGCTTCCAGATAAGTTGTTTTCTCTCCTGGGGTACCATGGTCTGCACATATAGGAAGAGGGACAAGTTAAGTTAAAGTTTTATTTGAGCATTTTTCCCTTGAATGATTTTTGCCTGGCTCAGTTTATTTAAGATCTCACATGATATAAATGATGAAAAACGTTTTCCTTTTGAGACTTTGTAAAGTGTGATACAAAACTTAGAAACCATAAAAGAAAATTTTAATGCATCCAATTACTTTAAAACAGTCTTAGCTAAATGAATAAAATCAAAAGATAAAACATCAAATTTGAAATATTCACATGTTATGTCACAGAGAAAGGGCTGGTTTCTCTAACATATTAAAAGCTTCTACAAATCAATAAGAAAATTGGGCAAAGGTCATAGAATCCACAGAAAAAGAAGCAAGGCCGCTGCTTACATTCATGCAAAGTTGCTTAGACGTACTGATACAAAATGCAAATTGAAAATGCATGGAAATAATCCTTTCTACTTTTCAGGTCAGCAAAGAGCATGAAGTCTGAATATGTGAAGAGCGAGAGGTGTGTGTGTGTGTGTGTGTGTGTGTGTGTGTGTTATTGGTGGTGGTAGTACACAAGTTTTTCATTTTACATAGAGGAGTCTGGCAATATTTTTCTTACTTATTCATGAATCCAAACTGTGATTGCTAAATCCACAAATGACCAATTTTTCCCATAGAGTGAAGTCTCTCAAATAGTATTTTATGGGATAGGTTTCCTAATGCATCACCGAAGCCGTTTTCAGGAACATAGCCTTGAAAAGCAGTAATAGGTGTAATGTCATAAGGAGTTAGAACGTAGTTGGGAGCTGTCAGCCGCCTCCAGGTGCTGTAATGACATTTGTGTCCCTCAGTAAAAGGAGACCTGCCCCAAGCCCCCATGTGCGCTTGCTGCTCTTGGAAATGCTTTTTGGTCAGGAGTGACAGAACTGTGAAACGGATTTGAAACCCAGGGAGCTGCCTGGGGACGGGCTCTGCTCTCGGTGGTGGGGACAAGGACACGGCAGGCCCTTCTCTTCCCAGGAGCCTCCCCAGTGTGCAGTGAGAGGCCAGAGCCTCACTTCACAGTATGGATGAGGAGATGGAGCATTTGGAGACAGTCTGTTCACAAAGTCAAGCACAGAATGTCTTTTCATCCTGGCCTCTGGGGCCGACCTGTGCCAGGGACCCAGCTCCCTGTGCCTCGATGGAATTCTCTGGCAGATCCTTCCCAAAATGTGTGGAAAAATCTGTCTCTCTGTGCTCTTCCTCCTTGTTTCAAGGTGAAACTGAAGACTTCTCTCACTGCTTCTCTGTGGAAGTGAGCTGAGCTCTAAGGTCCTGCCTACCGCTATACTGGTGCCAGCCACAGAAACACAACCCTTCCCCGAGTGGGCAGGTAAGTAGACATGAACAGAAAGACCAGTGGGAACAGTGGGCCACTGATGGGGTCTTCTTACCATGCATCCCCCTGTGCTGCCTCCATTCCCCTGAACACAAGGTGACTCAGCTTAGCTGGGTTCATGTGGCAACCTGGTATGTGGTTCTCTGCTCACCTTCGCTCATCAGGGAGTGCTGTTTTCTGTTAAGGGCAGTGACCTTGAATGTTGGTTGCCCATTAAACTCACTGGGGAAAGTTCTAAAAATAAAAATTCCAAATGGCTGGACCTCATCTCCAGAGATTATGATTTAATCAAGACATTCACCAAGCCTCTTATGTGTCTCTCATTTGTAGCCACAGCATGGCTATGGAATGATCATCTACATTGAGATACCATACTTTAAGAGTGAGCTGGGGATCCATGATTAACCATTATCTTGAGACAGTTTATTTAAGCAGATGGGATGCCTGGTCATCCTGGTTGAATTTTGAGAGACCACAGAGAATTATCTCTTTGAGTACACAATCATCTTTTTTTTTTTTTTTCCCCTACATGGACAAAGACATAGGTACTTTTACATCATTGCATGCAATTGTAGGTGGGTAACATGAATTTGATTTTGAGTCCTGTTCTCTATGCAATTTTTTATAATTTCTCCATTCCTGTATCTCCTCGTCCTCCTGTTGAGAAATGAAGAAGGGCAAAGGATGCATGCTTTGTTGACTCTGAGCCCTTGTCATTTTTCTTGTGGCTTTGGTAAGGTCCACATGTGGAAGACACTTTAGGTCACCTGGAAACACCTTGTCTTCCATCTCTATTACTTTTCACTCATTGCTGGGACAGAATACCTGACACACGGAATTAAGGAATGAAAGGTTTATTTAGCTCACAGTTAGTGGAGGTTTCGGTTCATACTCAGCTGGCTCCAAGGCAGAGCAGCACATGGAAAAGGCAGCCAGCAGCAGAAAACAGCAGAGAGCAAAGGGAGGAACAGTAGCTGTGGCTTCTCTCCTTTCTGTATATTATAAGCAGGTAACCTGGGGTCGGGCGTAGGGCTCACACAAGGCCCATGCCCTCCACTTGCACAGGATGAGGATGTTTACAAAGTAAGAACCCTGCTTTTCTGAGGGCTGCTGCCTGGAGTCTCAGTCGTCTCTTGTGGAAAGTTCTAGAGGCCACCCGGCGCTACGGTCCTGAGACCTTTGCCTCTCCCTAAAGAATAAAAGATCATATGATGGCAGGTGTGTCCAAACCCAAGGACTTGGAGATTTTGGATGATGTGGAGATGCCCTTCAGTGAGAATGAATGGGCCAGCCTCACGTCTGTGGGGAATGCCCTGTACGCAGAAGTGACGGCGGAGAACTGCAAGACCGTGGCTTCCCTGGCTGCAGCATCCATAGATAGACCTGATGCGAACCTGGCACTGGAGGAAGAGAGGGATGCCCTCATCCAGAGGGGCTGGGAGGTTGGTCTTGCTGAGTACATCACAAAACTAAGAAGATATACTCGCCTAATTTACAGACATTTCATCCGATAGGATGTAAGATTTCTGGAAATCCTCAGTGTTGAGCAGACAAGACAAAAGTTAGTTGTTGACCTTTTCTAGTTTTCCTTGTAAAAAGTTAAGAGCCGCCTTAAACTACGGCAACTGCACTTTTTTTT